TTCTAGCAAACATACAGATTCTGTATCCAAAACATACAGGTTCTGAAGGGTGAAGTTTTCCACAGATGAGATTTTAGCTTTTTTAATGGGAAAGTTTCTGAAATGTTCTGTACTTTATAGCCATCTTAAATAGAATATATACTAAATATGATTTATAGTCTTTTCTTGGCAACAGAGAGTCATTATGAACAAGTCATTTTATTACGCTATGTAACATAGTAGGCCCCATGGGCCTGCAGGGTAAATATGACTGGGCTTTTTGAATACTTGGTCTGATTTTTAACAGATTTCTGTTTCTTTGTCTCATTATTACTTGTCACTTTATGTTGCTGGCTTCTAAGCATTCTCATTTCTTCCCTCTTCTACATTTCAGCTAAACTGGCTTTCATAGTGTCCTTCATATATAGCATGTTATTTTCTATCACTATGCCTTTGCAAGGCTGCATCCCATGTGCTCTGTCCCTACCTTTGCTTCTTAGAAGTCTTAGCTTTCTTCCAGTTTCTATGTATGTGTCACTTTTTATAAGGCTTTTCCTGATTTTTTTCCCTTAGTTGTTAGTACCAAATGTCTCTCTCACCTTGAATTCACTTTGCATTTCCTTCTACGTATATATGTTGTTTCCCCCTGCTTCATGGGATGTAATGACTCATTTTTTGTCAGTGTCTGGTACAGAGTAGGTGCTTAATAGTTATTAACTAGAGGTAGCACCATGTTAGAATTGGGTTTGGACCTCACTGACGGTAGCCTTGGGAACACGGGCAACTTACTTAACTTGTAGCCATTTCTTCTTCCGTAAAAAGGGGACGATAGCTCCTTCAAAATTTTCTTGACAATAATCTTTTATTAAGAGCTTACTATGAAGAAAAAAAAGCTTGCTGTGTACTAAGAGTAGCAACAGTAAGGAGGATCAGTTGTGAAAGACATAGCTACTCTGATCAAGATGCTCCTAAACACACTCCCTCCTGACGCCTCTTACAAAATGTCTTCACTTCCATCTCCATTCTCTCTCATCTTCACATCTCTAGTTTCTCCCTATCTATTCACTGTGTGTGTGACCCTGGGCAAGTCACTTAACCTCAGTCTGCCTAAACTGTAAAATGTGGATAATAACAGCACCTACTGCCAGAGGTGGTTGTGTCAAATGAGGTGATATTTGTAAAGTACTCAACACACAGCCTGAAGTGGACTGAGTGCTTAATACTCATTCCCTTCCCTCCCATTTGGCTTCTCCCTGGTGCCTGCAAACATGTCTCCGTCCCCCCATCCTTAAAAAATCTTCACTTAACCCTGCCATCCCTCAAATATTGTGCCTATTCTTACTCTTTGTTTTGTCCAAACTCCTAGACAAAGGTATCTGCATTTAATGCTTGCACTTAACTCTATTGTCACTCTCTTCCACACCCTCTTAAATCTGGCTTACAACCTTAACATTCAACCAGAACAGTCCTCTTCTAAGTTTCTAATGATCTGTTATTCCAAATCTAATGATCTTTTCCCCCTTCTCAATTGTCTCTCTGTGGCCCCCAGCACATAGTGAAGCCCTTACTCAGTGCTCACTACTACCCTCTCTTCTTTACTCTCATCCCTTTTAAAGAGGAAGACTGTAGTGAAAGTAGAGGTATGATATTGGCCATACTACCCCACCCTTCTTTTTCCTTTTGCTCCCCCCTTTTAATCCATACTTTACATTTGAAATTTGTTTTGAGTCTATGTCCTCACTTTTAAAACTCTTTTCTTTCTTTTGTCCCTGCCTGTTTTCCTGTTGACTCTAATGTATTTCTTCATCAAATCAATCATCAGTTACTTAAGTGCCTTCTGTGTAACTGGCACTGTGCTAAGTGCAGAGATTACAAGTACAAAGGATGAAATGATCCCAACTCAAAATGAGCAGCCATGTTTTCAGTTCTCCTTTGCTTCATGCAGATTATAGTGAGGTGTCCAATGCTTTTCTTTCCCCATCTTCTAGGTTTGTATATTCTCATAGTCTGATTCTGAGAAATAGTAAGTTATGTACCCCTTCACTTTTCTTCTGTAATATGTCTTTCCTTTCTTTCCTTCCTTATAGCCATCAAAATACAATAGATCCAAGGCCACATCCTTTGTTTGTCTTGTTTAATTCCTTCTATGACCCTTGAAGACATTAGGGTTCTGCACAAAGGCTACCCCCCTCCCAACTTATCCAGTTCTAGTTCTCTGCAGCTCCTGACTTCATATTACTGTTGTGTGTGTATTTTGCAAAGATAACAAATATTAGTGGTAAATATTGAGCCCTGAGATGGATGTGACTAGCCATTGTGACCCAATATCCTTCCTCTTTTTTTTTGTTTCGTTTTGTTTTGTTTCCTATGTTGCTTTAGTATGACAGTAGAATCTGAGTGTTTTCCTAGTTAAGTGATTCCTGCCCCCAAAAGATGTTTAACCTTATCTGCATGATGGTAGAAAAAAAAAATAAACTTGTAAACCTGCTACTCCATTTCTTCAGTTTTCTTCTTTTAAAGGAGGAAATAGTTGGCCAATAGTGAAAGGAAGCAGGAAGGTGGCACCGTGGATAGAGTGCTGGGCCTGGAGTAAGGAAGACTTTTCTTCCACAATTCAAATTGGGCCTCAGACACTTATTAGCAGTGTGACCAAGTCACTTAACCCTGTTTGTCTCATCTGTCAGATGAGCTGGAGAAAAGAAATGGCAAACCACTCCAGGATCTTTGTAACAGAGAAAGCCCCAAATGGGGACATGAAGATTTGGACAAGACTGAAAAATGATCAAGCAACAATAACCAGAGGAAGGGGGAGAAACGTCTAGTGGCAGGAGCCCAGTTCCCTTATTCACTTTGTATATGCTCTTTCTTCCTGTCTGCCCTTTTAGTGTGGGTTCCTTATGGTAGGGAGTAGCAGTAAATATTTGCCCACTATCTGCATTATGATGTTTAGCTGCTGAATGTATCAGCAGTTTCTAGAACTGTGCTGCTGCTAAAATATCTAATCTGAAGTGACAAAGTCCTTGCCTACTGAAAGCTTACGATTGACTGGCCCAAGGGATTCCTTCACTGAGTCAACAAACATCTAGTTTGTTGTGCAAAGCACGATGTAAATGAAAAAGTATAGCACTGTTCTAGACACTTGGGGGGAGAAAAAGATTAAAATGAGAAGTCGTCCTGGCTGTCTACCAGACCAGTCTGATGGGCAACATGACACATACAGGATGAGGACATGGGGGCGGGGGAAGCCGTGTTATATGAAGAGACCCCATTTGAACGAAGCTTCAGAGGGTAAGCAGCATTGCCATAGAATGGCCTGTATCGGGGTAGGACACTTGGAGTCTAAAGGAGCAATTTGAACAAAAGGCACAAAGGCATGTGGGATGGTGAGAGTCCAGTTTGCGTTGAGGAAGTGGGAGCTTGGAAAGCTAGAAAAGAATTGGAACCCTCATTCACTAAGGTCATAGGGAGTAATTGAAGGAGTTTTGAGCAGAGAAGTGAAAAGAGCTGATCTTTGCATAAACAAAACTTAATTTGGTCACTTTGTAAAGGATGGATTGGAGCATAGTGAAGTGGGAAGGCTTCTGCTATAAGAGCTCAAGACATCCCTCAGTACCAACTGTGCCACTAACTGTATGACCTTGGACAAGTCACTTCTCTAGGTGTCAGTTTTCCTAATCTATAAAATGGAGGAATTGGTATTCATTAGGGAATTGGAGAACTAATCATAATATAGGAATATAGTGGATTATTATTGTACTTTAAAATGACAAACCTTATGAATTATGAGAAATATGAGTGGGTGGAAAAGCTTGCATGAATTGATGAACCACGATAACAATAAAATCTTAGTCTCAGAAAGCAGATAAATGGAACCCATTTGCCTGGGTAGACAGGTGAGCAACTATAGATACAGAATGTAATGTTTACAAACTCTTTTTCGTATTTTTTGTTTCAGATTCTTTCTTTCCCTCCAGTCCCTTCCCCACCCACTGAGAAGGCAAGCAATAGGAAACCTATTATATATGTGAAATCATGCAAAAAAATTCCATATTAGCCATGTTGTTAAAAAGAAAAGAAAAATAAAGCCATAAAATTATACGACAATTTGTCCTTCGAGTTTACCAGTTCACTCTCTGGAGGTAGATGGCATTTGTCATTGTGCCTTCTTTGGAACTGTCTTGGAGCATTGTCTTGATCAGAGTCTCTAACTCTTTCCCAGGCCATCATTAGAGTACTGCTATTACTGTGTACAGTGTTCTCCTGGTTCTTTGAATCTGTTCATATAGTTCTTCCCAGGTTTTTTTGACCACCTCATTTCTTGTAGCACAATAATATTCCATCATAATCATATACCATACCTTGTTCAGTTCACAACTACACCACTAGTGCATTAGTGTTCCAGTTTTTCCACATCTTGCCAGCATTCATCATTTTTCTTTTCTGTCATATTAGCCAATCTGATAGGTGTGAGGTGGTACCTCAGAGTTGTAATCAGTATTGATTTAGAGCATTTTTTTCATATGACTATAGAGCTTTGATTTCCTTTTCAGCTTTGTTTTTAAGGGAAACTTTGAACTGCTTTAAAAAAGAATACTTGCTCCGACTGTGTCAGTGTATTGGTTTTAGTGTGGCCACGCTCCTTCGTCCTTTGCTCCTTTGGACATTCAACAAGCATTCCTGTATGTGGCCTTTGTGACTTATTTTTCCTGTTGACTATTAGCTGTTTGTGTTTAGCTGTGTTAATTTTGCATATGTGTGTTAAATTTAGCTGGTATAATTTTTTCAAACAAGTTAAGACATCTCTGTGGTCCCATCCAGAGTCTCTTACCGTATAGCTGTTTAATTTTGTTACATTCCAATATTTAGAAAATCCAACCTGTGAGCTTTATATTTGTACCTAGGTAACAGCACTTTTCCTAAATTGCCTTCACATGATATTCTGTAGAAAAGAATTTGATTATTTTTTGTGCTTGATGAAATGACATTTATTACATGTTTTTTGTGTGTTTTTTCTTTCTTAGGAAACCCAGCGTTTGCTGGCAGAACCAGTTCCTGGGATAAAAGCAGAACCAGATGAAAGCAACGCACGTTATTTTCATGTGGTCATTGCAGGCCCACAGGATTCCCCCTTTGAGGGAGGGACTTTTAAACTTGAACTATTTCTTCCAGAAGAATACCCAATGGCAGCTCCTAAAGTACGTTTCATGACCAAAATTTATCACCCTAATGTAGACAAGTTGGGAAGAATATGTTTAGATATTTTGAAAGGTAAGTGGCATCCTTATCCTAGTATTGACATTTCTCCTTTCCTCTTAAGTGTGGCGTATTTAGAATCCTCTTTAACAGTCCTAGCTTGATTTCATCCGTGAGAGGATGAACATTAGATCCGTGAGAGGAAAACACATGAACACTTGGGGTGGCTCTGATGTTTTTATAATAGTCTGAACTGCTGTCTCCTTAGATAAATGGTCTCCAGCATTGCAGATCCGTACAGTGCTGCTCTCAATCCAAGCTTTGTTAAGTGCTCCCAATCCAGACGATCCATTAGCAAATGATGTAGCCGAGCAATGGAAGACCAATGAAGCCCAAGCCATAGAAACAGGTAATGGCTGTGGGATGTTGTATTGGGGCAGACGTTCTGGCCTTCCCTGAGCGTGGATCAGATCTCATCGCACCAAAAAAGACAATCCAGCAAACTCCCAGCCAGATTTGCCGGCCTGCTTCTTTCACACATTGGATGCAGAAACACTCTAAAACAACCAAATGATTGTTTACTTAAAGAAAGCTTACTTTCAAATGCATTTGGCCTCTAAATTCAGTGCAATTCAACAAGCACCTGAGTGCCGACCGTTTATGTAGTGTGGTAACTGGAACAGAGTTTAGCATTTTGTATCCATTGCGGTTGTAGAATTTCATTGAAGTTTTTAGGACTAAGACATGCCAAATCTTAAGATCCTATTCAGCCTATAGAAAATATTCATGTATTTCTGAAATATTGCTTGTATTTAAATATTAATTTCAAATTTTTCGTTTTGTTAAATTACCTCTCCTATTTTAATATGTTTGAAAAAGAGTCTATTGAACTAAGTAATCTATGATTGCATGTTTGTTTTGTCTTTACAGCCAGAGCATGGACTAGGCTATATGCCATGAATAATATTTAAATTCAATCTCAACATCAAGTGTGCATCACTTCTCCTGTTCTGCGAAGACCTCTTCCTTTTTTGTTTGCATTTAATGGACACAGTCTTAGAAACATTACAGAATAAAAACCCAGACCATCTTCAGTCCTTTGGTGATTAAATGCACATTAGCAAATCTCTGTCTTGTCCTGATTCACTGTTGTAACGCATGAGCAGAGGCTAGAAGTATCATCTGGATTGTTGTGAAATTGTTTAAAAGCAGTGCCCAGTTCTGCTTTTATTCATTTCTCCCATCATGGTTTAAGTATCAGCACTGTGAATGAAAGTAGTTGTCGGTTAGCTGCTGGGGTGTGTCTTTTTTTTTTCTTCCAGTTTTGTGGGCTCCTTTTCCCTTTTTATGGTGATGCTAATTGCATTGGTTAAAGCAGCTAACCAGTTGTACTTTAGAATATGCCCTCTAGCCAAGTCTAACTTAGACGCTGTAGATGGACAAGCTTGGTTGTTCGAACAAAAATGGGAACATTAAACATCACAGCCCTCACTAAATATTGTGATTCTGCTGTCAAGTGTAGAAACCTCCCTTCGAGAAAAGCTTGTGACCATTTTGTATGGCTTGTCTGGAAACTTCTGTAAATCTTATGTTTTAGTAAAATATTTTTTGTTATTCTACTTTGCCTTTGTACAGTTTATTTTGCTGTGTTTATTTCGTTTCCCTAATGTGACAATCGTATTTGAAGATTGAAACTAGTCTAGAACATTTTATGTTTTGGGTCTTCGCCATCTGACATCAAATAGTAAGATGTGGACTTTGCCAATTTCTTTTCATTGATGCAGATACGTGATAAAATGCTGCTAAATGAATACCCATAAATTGATCCTGAGAATACAGCAGTCTCTTCAGTGACTGACATGTTAATTGAAATAAACTTCAAGTGTACAAAATTATCACTGTCTGATCAGTTAGGTGATGACTGGTATCTAGACCTAGAATGTTAGACAGTTACTGTCCAGGGAAAGACTGACAGCAAGCAGCAGTTGTGATTGGCAAATGTGTAACTTTTCTTTTGTACCATATCATGTCTGGCATTGATATGGACATTATAATTTTGTTTCTTCCCAGTTTGTCTGAATTTAATACATGACCTTTTGTATTTTATAGGACAACAATGATAGATTTGCTAATTATTCAGTATTTGCTAAGCCATTTATTACAATCTTATCTACAGACCAGATGAACAAATTTTGACCAGCTAAATTGAATTATTAGAAAGGTTTCTTCTTTTGAAAGTCCCCGATTTTTAGTGTAATATAATCAGTCTTTAAAGTTCTGCATAATCATTTCCTGATGATCCTTCTAGGTATTCCTTAAAGGAGCCCCTCCCCGCCCCCTGCCTTTTTATTTTCATTCTTTAATTTGATTTCCTATGATTTCTTTCAGTTGTCTTTTTTCTCTCTGCACTTTTCTCACTCTGCATATTTGATTTCTTTTTATTTTTAAGCCAATCATATGGCCAGTCAGTCTGAGTTATGTTCGTGTTAATTTGCAGGTGGAACCTTTGTCTCTTGCAGTTCAAGGTGATGGTTATGTAGTCCATCTGAATTTTCCCCACTTTTATCTCGTATCATCTGGAGTTTCTTCAGAATGTGGTGTATTTTATTGTGCTCCTATGTAAGATGAAGAATTATCTATTAAAATTACATTTTCAACATACAAATGCTTTTGATGACTGGTAACTGGTATACCTCAAAATACCTTGCATGCTGACAAGTGTTAGAACTCTAATCCATAATTAGTTTCTGTAACCGTTCTATAAACTAATATTGGAATTTGCAATGGATGACAACGTAGGGCAACCTATGCCAGCTAGGAGAACTGGTAATTATCCAAGAGAAACAGGTACGTACCGCGTAGGCATCAGGCATGAAAAGTAGCCATATGATTGTATTTCAGATTTGTAGTCTTTACGGAGCCAGGTAACTTTTAGAGTATTACGATTTAAATGGATCTACAGAAGACCTGTCTTGAGGAATTTTCACCTTTACAGTGCCAGAAATGATCAAGTAAGTAAAATCACAACTCAGCAAGCTCAGTGGGGCGTTAATTTTTCCATTGTTATTTGAATCACATTTTCTACAGTAACTGGGAATGAAAACAGCAGGTGTTGTATATCCCCCAAGGAGCCACAGGTTGTTCCTTGACACTCTGTGTAGAGTGGAAGATTATTAGTTGGACTAGCTGTGGAAGAGACTGATGGATAAACTCGGGTCCAGAATAAAGGGAAATCAGTTTATAGCACTAAAGTGGAGTTTTCACCTGGCAAGTTTTGTGGTCTTCTTTGAGCAGAGACGCGGCATGTAAACCTTTCCACTTTTTGCCAGCCCTGAGGCGGGTCATCCGGCACATAATTCCTGGCGTCCTCTACAACTCACATCTGAGCTCATTCGAAGGTTTAGTTTGACTAGAAACAAGTTCAATCCAGAATTTCAAAATAAATGGCAGGTTAAATTGGGTCAATTATGTATACGTTTCAAAAAGTGATTTTGTACTTTTGTCTAAGACGGAGGGAAAAGAAAATTCGTACTTCTCTCTGATCCATTTTGAAAACAACACGAAGTGAGCTCTAGATTTTGGACTGTGCTCACCATGGGGCTTTTTCCGTTTTAGCTTCTGCTTGCTTGGACCTTGATGTATCCATCATGCTTTCAGTAATATTGACCTCTCTTAGGGAGGAACAAAAAATCTTTGTGATGAAGGGGCCTCAAGTGGGTAGCCAAGTGGACCTTACTTGGAATCCAGGTTACCTGGGCTCAGGTCCCAGTTCTACCAGTTAGCCAATTTCACAACTTGACTGTAAAGGAAGGTGAAGGGATGGTTTAGTGGATGGGGGGGTTGGGGATTAGGAAGACGTGGTGTCAAGTCCTGTCTCTGTCACCTATTAGTCCTGCAGGCTGCTCTGGCTATAAATTTTAGAAGCCAATCTGGATTGGGGGAAAGGGCCTCATATCAAAGAAATATTCCATGGAATATGTAAACCTTATAAACCTTAAAGCAATCTGTCAAAATAGAAGATTGAAAACCTTTTTTCCATTGCAACAGTCCGTTGACGTACCATCCTGTAGGGATCACATCAATACTTGGTGGTTATTAACTTCCTCACCGATGTCAGGTTGACAGTTTGCTCCCAGAGTTGGTGCTCTGAATGGCTTCAAAGCTGGTACAATTCCGTTTTAGACTTTCCCAATCTGAACTTTTTTTCTACCTCTGGGAACAAGTTGTATGGAATAGTTGCTGGTATGAAAATGGTTGTGATTTTAGCATTTTTGCTACTTCACCTTTTTGATGCCTGAATAGGTCTTATTTACATATTTACATATGTGATGGGCACTTTTAAAGCAGCGGCCCCAGATAACGTGACCGCGATAAGAAATGCCATTTCAGTTAGCAAAGCAGCGTGAGCCTTGGATTCTTTGCTCCTCTGCAAGTCTCTTTTAACAGCAACTGCTGAAGAAAATGCCTGCTGAAGTGCCAGGCTTTTTGTTTTGGGGAAAAAAACTTTGGGTTTCAGCTAAGCATCTGCCTCTTAATTACTTAATTACTCCCGTGGACATTCATTGACTTAATCATGGAAGGGACACTTCCTCCCCAATTGATTGTATCTGACAACAGTTCCCCAGGATTTAAAATACGCCAAATCTGCAGTCCAAACTCGCTTAATAAAATCATAGTATCCCAGTGAGTTGGAAAAGTCTTGGGTTTTTTACCTATGGAAAAGCTTTTAAAATCATACTGCTGGGGGCAACTTGGTGCAGTGGATAGAGCTTCAGCCTTGGTGTCAGGAGGACCTGAGTTCAGATCTGGCCTCAGGCACTGGACACTTACTAGCTGTGCGACCCTGGGCAAGTCACTTAACTCCAATTGCCTCACCAAAAAGCAAAAAAGAAAAAAAAATCATATTGCTACTAGCAGCATATACAGCCTCTCCTATACAGCTCTATTGGGTCCACTTGATCATACGCTGAATTATCTTCATTTCCCTGCTTTTTAAAATTGACACCACCTGCCTTTTATTCCTATTCCCAGTAATGGTGGTTGGTTTAAATTTGTCTTCTTGACATACTGTTAAAGGGTCAGCTGTTTGAGAGTAGTGATGCTTTTGGAGACTGAGAAAGACATTTGCAATATGCCACATTCCTCCGGGATGAACTTTGTTGTAAAGAGATCAGCTACCTATTTATGTTTTAATCAGACTGGCTAGGATTTTATTGGAGTAGCTTCTGATAGTTTTTGTTGTACTGTGATAGGTTTTCGCCTGTATGAGGTTGTCATTAAGAAGCCTATGGCTAAAGGGATAGGTTGCGTAAACCTTGGCAAGCTCAGGAGCTTATGTGCCTCGTACTAATATGTTCAGTTACCTTCAGGCTACTGCCATTTAAATTAGAGCAAAAGCTATTCAAAATGTGAAGAGAAATTAAAGCATGTTTCTGAATTCTATGCGTACATGCGCATACGTGCGCACATAGAGTATCTGGCACAGAGTGCTTTCATGACAAATTAGAGTCTGATAGATTGGGGATTTGCTTTTTTAAATGCACTCTGTTGATGCAGATGTCACCTCAGTGCTTGGGACTTTGCTCTAACTTGATTTATAAATTAGAGAAAATGTTTACTTCAGAAGGATTTTCAGGACCCATACTAGCAGGCTGTTACAGAAAGGTACCTGAGCTAACGCATTTCTGTGGTAACTATCGGACAGGGGTTTTTTTTTGTTTGGGTGTGTGGTTTTGGGTTTTGTGTTGTACACTCTTCTTTTACAGCTGAGAAGGAACAGACATGGGATTACTCCCCAACAGTGGGGATGGTAATCAGGGTTAAGTGACATGCCTAGGGTCATACAGCTAGTGTCTGAGGCCAGATTTGAATTTGAGTCCATTGCACCACCTAGCTGCTGCTTTATAACTATTTCAAATCAGTCGTCTTCCTTTATAATCCTATATATTTAACTTTATGTCTTTATTGCTTTGAGAAGGGGGTCCATAGGCTTCACTGGACTGACACGACACAACAAAGGATAAGTATGTATTCTCAGTTACTTGATTTGTCTAGTGCTCACAGCCCATGGCAACAGAGTGAATGGGATGCTTCCATTTTTGTTTACTGCCATCCTATATAACCTTGGCTTCAATACCAAATATGAGCCTTTTGCCTAATAATTAGACCTCATCAGGGTGTGGGGTGAATCAGGCATGTGCTAAAAAACATCATACTTGTGGATCTGTGATCCCATCCATCCACTGGGACAGATTGCAGCACCTTCCAAGGTTGCTGCTCTCTGACTGTGATTATTACTCCAAAACATTCTAGCCCATTTCGTTTTCCAGGCATGTGTGCCTTGGTTTCACATTTCTTGGGCATGTCATCATTAATATGCTACCGGCTGCCTTGAGCCTACGCCGGCTTTCCATAGTTCTTTAGGTTAACTGTCACTCTGGACTTTTGTAAGGTCATCATGAGTCCGTTATAAAACATTGTGAGGGAAAAAATGGTCATTTGTGACAGTAAGCAATTTGCAATCTTTGAAAGCATCAGTTTCCAAAATGTTATCCAGCCTGGTCTCTTCCCATTCAGCTCTGGTCTCTTCATTGTCCATCTGTGGTGCCTGTCCAAGGTA